ATAATTCCTATCAATAAAAAGACCGAATATAAAATTTTATTTATTTTACCCTCACTCTTTCTTTATTAAAAACAGTAAAAACAAAATAAAATAACGAAATCGTTCATAATTAATTTTCTCATTTCTCATATAGGATCTTCTTTAAGGCGAAAAAAATAGTCGTTCTCAGTTGATTCAGAAAATTTGATTTTCTATTTCGATGAATTATTTCTGATTTTGAGAAAATCTTCTAAATTTTTTCTTATAATAATAATAATAATAATAATAATAATAATAATAATAATAATAATAATAATAATAATAATTTCAATTTTAAGTTTTTGTGAAATTATATTATTTTCAAATCAGTTTCTAATATTTTTTAAGAATTTTTTTTTAAAAAACAAGATTACTTTTAAAAATTTTAATAATATTTTTTAAAACATAAAAATTCCATTATGTCTAAAAATTACTACTGAAATTCTTCTAAAATTCAATTACTTTCTGTAATTTTTAAGTAGATTTATTTAAAAATTTAATAATCTTTTAAAATAAGTATTTAAATATTATTACTAAATATTATAAATTAAAATTTTCAAAAATTTTTTTGTTGAAAACTTATGAAATTTATGTATCTCTAAAAACTGATAATATAACTTGTACAAAATTCAAATATTTTCTACAATTATTAATTAGAATTATTCTCTAAAGCAAATACTTTTAATAATTCTAAAAAAGTTTAAAAAAAAATTTAAACTAAAATTTTTCAAAAACCGAGAGTTTTTTGGAACTTTGAATTAAAGTTACTCAAAATTCAAATTTTTAAAAACTTACACTTTAAATCTAAATCAGTAAAAATTTCTCTGATTTCAATTTAGTATCCCAGTTTTCTTTGATAAATCAGTGTAATTTCACTGACAATCAATGGTTTTTACTGATTCTCAGTAAAATTCCATTGATGAACTAAAAAATAAATAAATAAATAAAAAATTATTGTTTCTTTTTTAAGTTTTTAAGGTGAAAAAGAAAATTCAAGGACAGTTTAAAGTTTCCCGTATATTTTCAAAAAAACACCAAAAATCAATGATCCACAAGTTTTGAACGTTCAAATGAACGAAACACTTTTTATTAGAAATATTTTTATAAATAACTGTTCGCAATAAAAATTAAAAACTTAAATTTTACACTTAAAAACTTTATAATTCATTTTTTTATACCGACAAAAAATTATTGTAATAAATATTTAAATTAAAGAAGAAAATAAATAAATTTCGTTCATTTGAACGTTCAGAACTTTAGGATCATAAAAATCAAAACTTTTGTAACACTTCACAATATGAAAATCGAAATAAATTGCATTTTATACCAAAAAGTGAAATTTTGACGTTGATTCATCAACGTCAACGTTTATGATCAACGATTTAAAAAAGAAATATTTTTCTATAGCTGAAAAAAATGGTCCACAAGTTTGAATGTTCAAATGAAAGAATTATTTTTTGTTAAAATTTTCAAAAATTATTAATTTCAATAAAACTTAAATTTTAAATTCAGAATCTTTATAATTAATTTTTTTAACCCTTAAACCGCACCCTGGGTGTGCGACACCCATATTCTAGCTTTTTACTCTAATATTTCGGTTAAATTCGTAAAAATTGAACATGTGTCGTTATTGGACGATACATTTTGTACTTAAGTTTATGTTCCGTGAGGGACATTAGTCTCCCAAGTGTCTTTGTGTATTTGATAACTTTATGAAGTTGTCGGCGAAAAATTTCTGCTTGTTTGACACCCAGTTTTTGGTTTAGGGTAATTTCAGTAGTTTTAAAAAACTCTTTTTTAATTATTAAAATTAAATAAATCATTATGAAACTTATTTTCCTTCAAAATAGATGTACTGAGCTATATAAGATAATTTTTCCAAAAGATAATATCCTATTCCAGCTTGGAGAACACACTTAAAAGTCCCCGGGTGTCGCACACCCAGTGTGCGGTTTAAGGATGGATTCGGCAGTGTGCGGTTTAAGGGTTAATAACAAAATAAAATTATTTTAATAATAATTTCAATTTGATAAAGAAATAAATTAATTTCGTTCATTTGAACGTTCAGAACTTTAGGATCATAAAAAAAATGTTTTTTGTTTACAAATTTTTCTTTTTTTTTAAATTATTGATCAAAAAACTATGCAAAACATTTTTTATACTAAAATATATAAAAGTTCAAGTAGAAAAACATTTTTTCTTCTAAATCATTGACCGCAAGTTTCAGTTTATCATATTTCCCTGACACTGACATTGAAATTATTTTCCCTAACAAAATTCTTTTTACAGGAAAATATGAGTTTACGGAAAATGAGTAAAATTTATGAATTTTAATAATTTCTAAAATTTACAATTATAACCCTTCCTGAATTTAAAAATATTTTAAAATAATTTTTGAAAGACAATAGTTTTCTAATTATATACAATTGAAAAATTCCCGAACAACTGAGATTTAGTAAAATTTTTTAAAAATAATTGAATTTTTTAAAAATATGAATAAAATAATCAAATTTTCGAAGAATTTTAATTCTAATTATGACCATGATTTCTCCAAAATTTTAATAAGTCCAAAAGAGAAAATTTTGATAAATTTTTATTTACTTTGTTCGAAGATAATTGAATCTTAAAAAATTATGATAAAACAATTCTAAGAAAAAGATTTTAAAAATATCCAATTTTTCGAAAATAATTGAATTTCTTAAAAGAATTTTTATATAATTTAAAAGAAACTAATTACTTTCTTGAAGAATTTTAATTAAAAATTTTGAATATGATTATTTTCTCTAAAATGTTAAAAATAATTTTAAAATGTTATTAGTTTTTGTACGTATTTGAATTTTCGGAGACATGTAATTGAAAATACTGAAAATATTTAATTTAAAAAAATTAGAAGCTAATTTTCATTAATTTTCATATTTAAATTGACATTTAAATATTTTTCATTAACATTTTTGATAATTCAATTATTTTCAAAATTTGTGATTAAAATATTCTTCAAAAGTTGATTTTCAAAAATTGGAACAAATTACTTGAAAAAATGAAATTAAAAAAATTAAATTTTACAAAATTTCAATTATTCAAGAAGATTTTTATTATACTAGATTTATTTGAAAAATTTAATTATATCTCAAAAAATGATTCAAAAATAATTTTTGAAAGATTTGCTTATAGTTATTTTTCGCACTATAAAAATTGAAATAAGTTCTATTTTATACTACAAATGTGACTGCGAATATAAAATTAAATTTATTTTCCTCTCACCTCCTTTAAAATAAAAAACAAAATCGTTTATAATTAATCTCATAATTATTCTTGAAAAATATTTTCCTAAAAATTGCATACATTTGTTTATTTGCTGCCAGATAGGCAAAGAAAAAAAGAAAAATTGAACTAAAAGCAGAAGAAAATTGATAAAATATTTTTACTTTGATTGGAGAATTTATTGAAAATATGTAAAATTTAGACTAATCGTGAGGTGTGACTCATGAATGCCATCACGTTTCAAACAATCAATACATTCTCGATTAATATGACAAAAATTCTTAGTTTCGATTGTTGTGAGAAAATTAATAGCGGTGGAATTTAAATAAAGAAATTATGATAGTACCGAATGAAAGGACGAGATAATTATTTGAAATGGAGTGTCTCATATTACAATGGTTTTAAATGGGAAGAACTCGTTCAAGTAATTCGACGACAATGAGATTAATTTATTATCTCGAGAATTATTTCTGAACTATGTCTATACATATAGACACCGAGTATCAGTTATAAATGTACACAAATCAAATTTTCACTCTCTTATCCCCTTTGTGTCTCAATTCATTAAATTTAATGAAAAAAAAACTGTCACATTTTCAATTTTAATTCATAAACATTTTTCATTCAAATTATTAAAAAATTTAGATAAAAAATACCTACCAATTTTGTAAGTACAATTTTCTAAAATAACCGGAAATTTTTTTTCGCAAAATCAATAAGGTTATGTGTCATAAATTAAAATTTTCCTAATTTTCCCAAAAATATAGAGAAACGGAAAAAACTAACCTTGTATAAGTCCTATGACTTGGTAAGAGAAAAAATCTTTTGTTTAATTTCAAATATATACGTTTAGTTGATTAAATATTTCCTTTTGTAAATTTCTCAACCTTGTCAATGACATGAGAAGAATGCGTAATTTGTGTTTACGATCAAAAATTTTATTGCTGTTTAGCTTTTCATGTAAGGTGAAATTCTTTATGGAAGATAGAGTAAATTTATTGTAATTTTCACCAAGGGGATAAAAAAAACATATGATGGATAAAATACTTTTTGGTGTTAAACAAAATAATAATCGTATTATAACTATATCGAAAGAAAGCCGGCGTTGCCACTTGACATTTCAATCGACCATTAAACATTGTATTCACGACAAATTAACATAAATGTGTGAAAAATTTAAAGAAAATGATAAAAATTAATAAAACATGCAATATTTACATTGTCTACTCACTTTTATAATAAAATATTTTTCAAATTTCGACAATATTTCTGTTAAAGCCGGCTCTCGAGCGTTCGTTCCGCCATTAAACAATTCTTGTCAATTTTTATGAAAGCTTCAGTGGCGACATCTGTGGACAATAAGTCACAACTCTGCATTACCAACTCACAATAATAAAAAAGGCGGTAAATTCAAAAGCTTTCTTTCTAATATACTATTTTATGTTTATTGTAATTACATACAATATTATAATTATAATATAAAAATTATAATTTTTATATTACTACATTTCATTAAATCAATTTAATTTTCAATAATAATTAAAATTCAAATAATTAAGTTAAAAATATTCTACTTTTTAAAAAACGATTATTACAACAAAAGAAAGGAAAAAAAATTGTTTTTCAGTAAATTGATATGGAAAGAAAGTATAACTTTTAATTTTTAAATAAATTTTAGACGTAATTAAATAAAAAAGTGAGAATTTTATTTATTTAATAAATTATATCATAAATGGAAGATCCAAATTCTTTTTTCCCGGACCCACGTACATAAAACCATAATCGGATGAATTTATTTTGTGATAAAATGCTGCACCGGGCCAGAAACCATTCATTAAAATGACTAAACGACCTCCTAATTCTTTTTGTAAACACCAACATCCTATTTAAAAATTTTCTTTTAACGTTGTGTATTTTATAAATATAATTGTTAAAAATTAATATTTTTTCGATATTATATAAATATCAATTAAAATAAATTATTAATAAAAGAATTAATTAATTAATTTATCATTCAATTGAATTTAAATAATTATTAACTTTATTTTTAATTATTTTATTATTTAATTTAATTTAATTTAATTAATTAATCCCTGAAGTTAATTGAATTAATTTATTATTTAGTTGGATTTAGTTAATTAATTATTTAAGTGGATTTTAATAATTATATAATCATTTCAGTGAATTTAATTAATTATTTAATTACTTATAGGTGAATTTAATAAATTACTTTATTACTTATTTACTTGAATTCAATTAATAAATTAATTCATTAAATATTTTCTAGAATTTTTAATAATAATAATTCTTCTTCAAATCATTTATTTTCAATAATTTAAAAAAAGTTCATTGACAATTTTAAATTTATTTGTTTACAATTCAATTTTAAGAAAATAAAAAATTAGAAAATAAAAACTTGAAATATAATTTTAAAAAAAATTCAATTAAACTTTTTCAAAAAAATTAATTCTACAGAATTGTTATAAATTGTAAATATGAAGAATTCAAATTTTTAAAGATTTAATTTAAAACTTTTTCATAATTTAATTCTTTCTGAAAATTCACGCTACAATGATTTTAATATTCAATTATTATCTAAAATTTTAACTGAAATTCATTTTTATAAATCACTTTTTACTAAAAAATTCTACGAGACTTTAATTACTTAATTACTAAAATAAATAACTTATTGAGTAATTGAATGTTTCTCAATATTGAATTCTCATAAAGAATTTTATCAGCCAATTTTTAGATAATTTAATTTTTTCGACGAATTTTAATAAAATTTTCAAGAATAATTACATTTTTTCAAGGAAAATAATTAAATTCTTAAAAAAAATGTATTATTTATCAAAATAATTGAATTCCTTTTAAAATTTTTTGTTATTTATGAAAATAATAGAATTATTGCAAAGAAATTTATAAAAAAATTTGAAAATAATTAAATTTCTGTAAAATTTTTATTATTTAAGTAAATAATTAAATGTTTGTGTAGAATTTTATTAAAATCTTTTTTAAATAATTGAATTCTTTTAGAAAATTTTATTAAAGTAGTAGATATTGAAATCATTGGATTGAGGATAATTTTTGAAAAGAATTGAAATTTCGCCTAAAATTTTATTATAGTTTTCTTAAATTTAATTGAATTTCAGAGAAAAATTGTATTCCTTTTAAAAATAATTAAAATTTTTACAATTTTAAAAAAATTTTGAACATAATTGAATTTCTGCGAAGAGTTTTACTCCTTTGAAAATAATTAAATTTCTGCAATCATTTGTAATTTCTCCAAAATTCAATTTTTTTAGTGTTTTTAACTAAAATTCTTCAATAAATCCATTAAAATTTTCCAAATATCTAAGTTCTTTAAAGTTTCTAAAATTAAATTCATTGAAAATTGAAATTTTACAAAAGTTTTAATTGAAACTTTCCTTAAATAATTGATTATTATTTAATTGACTTTAATTTATGTAGTAATGCCGCATTTATTATTAATTTATTGAATGGACTTTAAATAATCATTAAATTAAATTTAATTAATTAGGTAATAATTTAATTTAGTTAGTAATTATAATTACTTAATTAAATTTAATTAATGAATTAATGCAATTTATTATCAACTTATTATCTGATTAAGTTTAATCAGTTAATTACTAATTTAATTTAATAAATTAATTTGTTACCCGCTACGAAATATATTACGTACTTGAAATGAATTAATGAATTCAACTCAATTAGAACTTAATGAATTAAGTAATTATTTAAGTGAATTATCTAATTCAATTGATTTTAATTAACAAATTATTTAATTTACTTTAATTAATTACTTTTTCATTAAAAATAACTTATTTTAAAAAGACAAGCGAAAACACTAAAATGAATCGTCTAAATAATTAAACTAATTATCTAAAAAATTGAAATTGAGAAAATCTTAGGAAATCTCGGCATTAATAATTATACCTTTTGGTATGTCAGCATCTATAGTATCTAAGAAATCAAGAGAATAATTATAATCATGTCTAGTTAATAAATTAGTTTTCCACTTTCTCTGTGGTAATCTTGCATGCTGATAAAAATTCAATTGTTCAGATTCATTAAGTGATAATCCTTGAAAATTGGCATTCTCAATAATATCGCCATTTACAGTTTTCTGCCAACCACCACGAGGTATAATCATTGCATCCTCATTTATTTGCTCCACAATAGCCGCTAAACGATCTTCTTCTTTCAATTCTTTCGAAACTGAACCCTAAGAATTTTTTAATAACACAAAACTTTTTAAAAACTAAGGAAAAAAAGTACAAATGAATTTTTGTAAAAACTTATGTACTTGACAATAATTAAATCTAATAATAATGAAAATAGTAAAAAATTACTTGAAGGTATTTTTCAAAATCCTTATTAGGTGGGAAGGGGGAAATTAGATTATAAACTTTACTGATAAAACCTGGAATTCCTTGAAATTGTGATGTTGCAAAAGGTGTTAAACATCGATTATATGCATTTGTCTTTGGCATTAATAACCAATTCATACGATCGAAACTTGAAAAATTTATTTTATTTGAATTACTTGTTTGACTGTTTCGTATAGGTATATAATAGGGTTGCCATAAAAAAATTAATTTTCTTTTTCTCTGACTTTTCCCTCTTATCCAGAAAATTTTTTGACTTTTTTCCTGACCCGAAAGAATATTCTGATTCACTCTAAAAATTATTAGATACTCAAAAAAAAGTTTTATTACATTTATTTACCAATTTCTCTAATTGTAAAATTATTTAAAAACATCAATAAATTCTTTTTTAAATAAATAATTAATCATTATTTTCCATAGGAATTAAGATTTTCAAAAATTTCAAATTCAAACCTTTATGAAATATTATCAACTTATAAGAATAAATATTAAGATGATGAAAAAAATCGATCACTCCGAGTCAGGATTCAAAAAACAGGAGTCAGGATTTCAATTTTTTTTTTTTTTTTTTTTTTAATCCTGACTCGGAGTGATCGATTTTTTTCATCATCTTAATATTTTATCGACCGAGTGATAGCATCATTACTATATATATTATAAGAATAAACTTATAAGAAAAAAAATTAAATTGTTTACAAAAATTTTAATAAAATCCTTCGCAAGAATTCAATTATTTTTACAAATAATAAAATTTTTCATACACTAGGGTCAAAAAGTTTCAGTACCTATACATTTGTGCTGATTACTTTAAAACGCTCGCTTCACTTCAAATTCAAATATTTCTGTAAAAATAGATGTAAGAGCTATCAAACTTAGGATCATTTTAAAGTTCAATAAATTAAGAGTCAAATAGGCTAAGATATAACCAATTTTATAATGTAAATATTAAAAAAATAATTCTTTAAAGTGAGATTTGTCAGTTGTACAATATCAAGTACAAATTCCATTCTTTAATTCTAGACCAAAATCATTCACATATATATTAAGTATTTTCATCAAATTCTATAAAAATAACTTCTCTTGCTGACAATTATTCGAAGAATATAAATTGCAAATTCGTCGTTTCCATTCAACTAATAAATAATGTATTGAATAATTTAATGCTTCTCAAAATTAAATTTTAATAAAGATTTTTATCAACAAATTTTTAAATATTCGAATTTTTTCGAAGAATTTTAATAAAATTTTTATAATAATTACATTTTTCGAGGAATTCGATTAAAATTTTATTGGAAATAATTGAAATTCTGCGATGAGTTTTATAATTCATAAAAATAATTATTGAATCTCTGTAAAAAATGTTATTATTTATGAAAATAATTGAATTATTGCGAAGAAATTTAAAAAAAATTTGTAAATAATAGAATTCCTGTAAAATTGTGATTATTTATAAAAATAATTTATTGTTGTGCTTAAAATTTTATCAAACATTTTTTTAAATAATTGAATTCTTTTGAAAAATATAATTAAAATAGTAGATATTGAAAATCATTGAAATGAGATTTTTTGAAAATAATTGAAATTATGCCAAGATGTTTATTACAATTTTTGAAAATAATTTAATTTCGGAGAAGAATTTAATAGGATTTATAAAAGTAATTGAAATTTTGACGAAAATTTAAAAAAAAATTTGAATATAATTGAATTTCTGCAAAGAATTTTATTACTTTTGAAAATAACTGAATTTTTGCAATCATTTGTAACTTTTCCAAAATTCAATTTTTTCAGTATACTTTAATAAAAATCCCTGACTTTTCTCTGAATTCTCTGATTTCACTGACCTTTGGCAACCCTGTGTAACCTCAAAAAATAAATAAAAAATTGTCTTTAATAAAATTTACCTATAATAGTAAACTTGGCTATTCAAACAATCTTTTCCATGTCCATAAGCGATGAAATAATCGTTTTTAACACCATCAATTCTCCCCCAATAATAACATTTATGAAAATGATTTTCCTTTTGTAAAATTAATAAAGAATTACGTAAAAGTATTGAATTTTCGGCTCCTATACACATTCCAGTATAACCAATATTATCTAAATTTTCTAGTAATCGTAAACAATCCATTTTTTCGAAAGATTCCTTTACTCTTATTGGTAATTAATTTGTTCCTTTTATTTTTGATAGTAGAAAACGAGAAAATTTTAAGATTTGTTGACAGACGGTGATGAAGCAGTGTTGCCAACTTGCCACCATTGACCATCTGTGACGAGCGACTAGCGACTAGTAGTGTTCTTAAATTCTCGAGAATTTAAGTTGGGGTAATTTCCCTGAGGAAATTACGGTAATTTAATTTTTTAAAGAGAATATAAGAGAATTTAAGAGAATATTGAGAATTTAAGTTTATTTATTTAAATAATGTATATTTATTATTTTTATTAATATAAATACATATAATTCAGCACAATTGCGATGATTACTTTTATCTAAAAAAATTCTTTAAGTTATATATGTAAATAAAAAAAGTAAAACCACAAATTTTTTAAGTTATAAATTTAATGTCATTTGCATTTATAAGGTTTATAAAATATGCGTAACTTAATACGAATAAAAGTTTAGATACTTTTGAATATAGATAAATAAAGAATAAGGATTATATTTAACATTATATACAATGAATTAAAAAATTTTTTAAATAAATATTTTGAAATTATTTGTGAATAAAGGCTTTCTGTCAGCTCTGCTGCGAGAGTAAGAGAGAAAAACCATTTAATTTGAATTTTCTGACTCTCTTGCTCTTATGTGTTACCATGACAACCTGCAGTCAGTAGAGCTGTGCAAGTACCTTTAATATATAGCATTTGTGGCATATTCTTGTTTACAAAATTTACAGAAGAATTTAATTGTTTTTGTATTCATTGCTTTTAAAATATTTCCATTTTACACTCTTTGGTTTTGTCATTTTTTAAATCTTTAAAAATATAGCCACTTTAATTAACAAAATAACAACTACTAAATAAAAACACAACGTCGGACAATCGAATTTACTACAGTGTAACGACAAAAGTGCGGTTATGTCACATTCTCTTAAATTCTCAGAGAATTTAATCGTCGGTTATATTCTCGGTAATATTCTCGTTCTCGGTAATATTCTCTGGGTAATATAACCGACTTAGAACACTAGCGACTACTATCTCGCTCGAATCACACTTCGAGATTAATCGAATCATGATTGTATGTCGCGGTGAAATCAAAATTATTAAGAAATATCCATTTATATTTCAATAAATATAAACCTGAGACTGAGAACGACTAAAGAATATAGTATAATAAAATACCCAAACATATTTTCATGTTTTAACAGATGTTATTTTATATACACGGAGAGAAAAATCAAGCGTTTTTAGTATGGACATTTAACCTTATTTAGTAAAAGAATTCACATGCGCAATAGGCGTAAAATTTCTGCTGTATTTGTATCAATTTCTACGTTATCAGCATAAAAGTTCTACCTTTAACGCATGGGACGTCAGTATACTACGATTGCAAGAGATCCATGCTATTTTAGTATATGTTTCATGCAACTGAGGTATAAAAACACGCCTTTTAAGCAGGGCGTTCATACAAAATTACCATAGGAAGTCTCCATACTAAAAACGCTTGATTATTTCTCTCCGTGTAGCTTAAAGAATGAATATTTCCACTTTTAAGAAACCCAAAAGTATTTCTAAAACATCATAAAGTTAATCTGGATTAAGAAAATGTGTATCTTATAAAATCTAAACTCTTCGATTCCTTCCAAAATTATCTGTTTTTCTAACACTATGTACAATTGTAAAATTTACCCAAAAAGTATACTCCTTTAGAAAGTCATAAAATCAGAACAGCTTAGTTTTATAGACCAGATCCTCTATTCAGGTAATAACTACCGAAATGGTACATCTAAAAACTTTTGATCCTTTTACCTTAAAAATTGTCACGTATTGGAAAAACCCAATTTTACATTACTTTTAGAAATGATAATCACTCTAATAATTTTATAAATAATCTCAATTTATGTATTTCACTATTTATATTAATCTAACATTTATTCCATTATTATAATTATTAATGAGGTGACATTTGTAAATAAAATACTTTCAAGATTTATAGTTTAACCATTAATTTGTTATAACTACACGGAGAGAAATCTGTTAGGATTAATGCTCGAAACTTTTCATATACTTTTTCCATAGATTCTTTGATGCTAAAATCCTAACAGAGAGCCTATTTATCGCTCGAGTCCGCCTGAATATTAGGCGGAGTCGACTGATATTCAGGCGGACCTCTAATACTTTTCGCTAGTAAGTGCTTATGCTATATTCATAACCTCTACTCTATGCATTATTCGCAACAGATTTCTCTCCGTGTATCATGACTATCAGCGCTGTATTATTTTATACAATATTTACTATAATTGTAAACGTATGTGTGTGTGTTGTATATAAGAGTAAATATGCTTATTATAGATATATATTTACTAGTTTATTATTTGTATATAAATTAAATTATTGAAAGAGTTATAGTATGATAAAGATAACGAATAATATTATTATGACGAATGTGTCTGTATCTACACCAATAAGTATGACGTATGAGACTGTATTTGTGTTAGTGAAGTGCATAAAAGTGTATAGTAAAGTGGGGGATGCGCGTCACTTTGAACATGCGCACTTCCCTCAACATGGACTAACAGCTGAGAACAACTCTGCTAGACTATAATGGAGAGTCCACAATAGGTGCAAAAGGCAAGAAGTGCAAGTGCGAACCAATGCTAAATGTATAGGAATTGCACTTGGACTTGCTACCTACATATTTGCACATATTGTGGACTCTCCATAAAGTCCAACGCACAATAGGTTCGCGAAAGTCGTTCGCGAACGAGACGCATGAGATAGACAAGGACAAAAATATATCTCTGTCCTTTTCTAACTCATGCTTTGCGTTCGCGAACGACTTTCGTGAACCTATTGTGCTTAGGCCTTCAGGGTTGCACGGTTGCGCGCAACTCGAAGTTTTTTACGTATATTACGTAAAAAATGTAATATACGTAAAAAACCTGTAATAAATGTAAAAAAAGATGTCGGACACTGATCTCTATATATAACTGGATGGGCGACTGTATCTAAAACTGCAAAATATTAGAAGACCGGAAACGCCACATTTTAGATGCCCACTTTTACACAAATAGCGGAAATTTTTAAATATAAAAGTGAGACTGATATACGTTTTGCTGTATAGAAAAGTACTTAACTGATTAGCAAATTTTTTAATTTTAATAATTAATTAACCGTCAATTACTTTTTTAATTAAATAATTTATTATTCACTTATTTTATTTTAAAAACTGATTAATTAATATAGTAACAGAACTTTTAGTATTCAAACATTATATAAACTCAAATATTATTGAAATAATATTTTTATTTTTAAATAATAATTGATTAAAAACAATATTTTTTTAATTCGGTAAGGAAACTAATTATGTGTTTAACGATACGCAAAAGTGTGTAAAATGTTCTACGCAAAAAGGAAACAAAATATGACCTAAAAATATACACTTCAATAATATGTATTTACTGTTTAAATATGTACTTTCATGTGAAAAGAAACACCCTTTGCTTCTTTTTTTCCACAATATAAACAAATTAACACCTTGTCTGTGTTTTATATCACAAAAGTTAAATTAAAATTATTATTAAAGCACTTGAGATGTCAAAACATTGGAAACACACACACACACACACACACACTATATCAAAAGCACACTCACACGGCAACTCACACAATCAAAGTCGCTCTACGCTGTTACACCGGCATCTAAAGCGTGGCGTAGAGGGTTTCAATTATTTTCACACCGGAAGCGACTTTTCTACAGCAATCGCCCATCTAGTTAGGGTGGAGTCCCATGGCACCGTTTTGCGTTGCGTTTTGTAACTAGGCCATGAGTGTGAGAGAGATACAGATATATGTTTGCTCTATTTGCACTCATGGCCTAGTTACAAAACGCAACGCAAAACGGTGCCATGGGACTGCACCCTTAATATAGAGATCAGTGATGTCGGACAATTGAAGAAGCGCTAAAAGCATAATATTTGAAAATTACACGTGCGTCGTCAATGTCATGCAACAAATTCGTCAGATTATTAAATATAAATTATATACAATGAATCCGCCAAACCAAAAAAGACAACTGATTCCCTGGGAAGAATTAGGGTTTGAACGTCAAAAAACAGAAAAAGGAAAGGCTATTTTGAAATGCTTGTTGTGCAAGAAAATTATTCAAACCTCTGCTTATAATCGCCTTGTTGCTCACAGGTATGTAAAGTTTATAATTAAATAAATAATGTTTTGAAAATATGAAATATTATTTTATAATTCATTACTCTTTAAATGTTTAAAAGGGCATGATGAAGATGATTTTGACAGGTTTATGACGGGACAGTATATTGTATAGGTTATGTTTACGAATTCTATTTGTACGATTTGTACCATTTGTACATAAATTTAGAAAATTTAGATAAATAAGTAATAAGTAAGGCCGCAGTCCCATGGCAGCGTTTTGCATTGCGTTGTAATGAGAGAGAATGCAGCAAACGTATATTTGCGTCTTTTTCTCTCCCATTACGACGAGAAGTCCCATGACGACGAGGGAGTCCCATGACAGCGTTTTGCGTTGCGTCGTAATGGGAGAGAAAAAGACGCAAACATACGTTTGCTGCATTCTCTCTCATTACAACGCAACGCAAAACGCTGCCATGGGACTGCAGCCTAAAGGCCTAAGGACAACTGGTTCGGTTTCGGGATATGTAAGATTTACATATATTTTGAGGTTAGGAAGCCCATATCCCGAAACCGAACCAGTTGTGCTTAGGCCTTAAGGCTGAGGGTGCAGTCCCATGACAGCGTTTTGCGTTGCGTTTTGTAACTAGGCCATGAGTGTGAGACAGATGAAGATATATGTTTGCTATATTTTCACTCATGACCTAGTTACAAAACGCAACGTAAAACGGTGCCATGGGACTCCACCCTAAGGCCTCAGTCCCATGGCAGCGTTTTGCGTTGCGTTGTAATAAGGGAGAATGTAGCAAACGTATATTTGCGTCTTTTTCTCTCCCATTACGATGCAACGCAAAACGCTGTCATGGGACTGCGGCCTAATAAATAAATAAGTAATAACTCAATCATAATTTGTATATTCAAAATACATTTATTTATATAACATCATATAATCTTCATTCAAATTTACTTGTAG